GCTCATTCGTGGAACTTGACATTGAGCCCTTGATGAAGTCCGTCACACTTGGAATCTTTTGCAAAACAGCACTGAACTTTGAAGTAGTGACTGGCGAGGATGGCATGAGCCCATGTCCACAGGCCACTGCCTTTGAATACTTGAGTGAACAAATGATGAAGCGTTTTAGCAATCCCCTTTGGCCTCGACACTTTTTTTACTGGATTCCCACTGAACAGAACCGTCAACAGATAAAGGAACAACACTTTGTTCGTTCCTTCTTGACCAACCTGATTACGGAAAAGCGCAAGTCTATTGAAGAGAGCCATGCCAGTGAAACAGATAAGGATCTTCTGACACATCTTTTGAAGGCTCACAACACTGCCAAGAGCATGGGCATTGTGGAAGCTGAACAGGTCACAGACGACAACCTCACTGACATTCTCATGTCACTTTTTAGTGCGGGTTATGACACAACATCAATGACTTTGTGCACTGCATTGTACTTGCTCGCTCAACACCCTCAAGCTCAAGAGCACTGTGTCAGAGAAATCCAGAACACGAAGGGTGGATTGGTTGATCCACATGACTTGGTGTACTGCAGGGCTGTGATCTTGGAGGCTCTTCGAATGTACCCTCCAGTGGTTACTACCCTCCGCACCATGACAAAGCCAGTGGAGCTCAGCGGAGGTCTTGTGATCCCTAAAGACTCTGATGAGTTTGTTCCTATCTATGGCATCCACCATGATGAGAACCTCTTTGCTCTTCCCTCTGAGTTTCGTCCGGATCGTTGGGTGTCAGCAGAGGAAGGGAAAGAAGGATGCTGGATGGAACGAAGTGCCTTGGATGATTCTGGTGAAATTCCAGCAGCCAATCATTCCAATTTATTGGCTTTCTCAGCTGGTGGCAGGAATTGTGTGGGTATGAAGTTTGCCATTCAAGAAGCTGTCCTTGTCCTTGCCAACTTGTTGAAAGGGCTTGAATTCGCAGCTGTCCCCAGCTTTGAACTCAAGAGCTCCAACCAGGTTATTCTCCATAAACCTGACAATGGTGTTCTTCTCAATGTTAGCACTAGGGTGTGAATTGTTTCTGGCCAGAGTGTCTGGGGTTAAGCCAATGAGTTGGAGGCTGCGGTGAAGAGTAGCTAGAAGTAAGAACAAAGTAGTGCAAGCCCAAAGCAAAATTGGACCCAACGACAACACCAGTAGACGAGGAACCTTGCTCCATGAGTCTCCACCAACTCCAATGGCAAGGAAGTCAAGGCTACTACTGTAGGGAGCCAGCCAGCCATCCCAGTAGGGGATATCACCGCATTGTGTCTACGTGGGCAAAGACTGCGGGTTTGGTGTTTGGTAACTCGTTCTTAGTATGCTTTAGTAAATAAATAGTTTGATACGTTTAAAGATGGCAATGCTTGGGTGTATGTGCTGTCTGTGTGCAGAGTGGTTGGTAATGATGCTGTTTTCATTAGTTTGTGGCCGTCGAAGCGTTCAACCGCGCCGTCTATCGGAGCCATCGAAGAAGGGCGCTGAAAATCAAAAAAGCATCCGGAACAGAGTCGGCGTCTTCCACGGTTGCATACCCATAGTCATCATAATCCTTGGAGGCGACAACTCCAAAGAGATTTCGGTTGTCATAGGCCTTGTTGCCGCTCCATGCTTCGGTGGAAGGAGCAAGCAAGAGCACTGTCATAAGAACCAAGGCAAAGATGAAGTTGGCAGAAGCAGTAGAAATCATATTGATAATTCAGGGCTGAGACAAAATTGAAGAAGAGCAACAGAACTTGTTTCTTTTCGATTGGCTTGTTGGTTTTTGTGGTGGCTTTTATGAGAGCATTGGTGGGCCAGAGTTTTCCGTGACAACTTCCCTACCGGTACAAACATGTACGCTGTACCGGTACAGTACTCTGGCTAGATTCTCAAGCAAAGATGAGACATCACTGTTGTTGGATTGCTGGACAGGCACACTGAATATCTTGTGTGTCTCGATGTCCCGGTACCGTACCGCTTCAGGAAGAAGGGGTCAAATCTGGGTACATTTGAGGCGTCCTTTCTGGTAGTAGGACCTCATAAAAACAAAAGATGTCACACTTGTTCGAAACCTTAAATTGAATTTGAGGGTTGACAGGCAGGCACCCAACAGACCATTTTGTCCCAAGTCTGGAAACCGGTACACAAGAAAACACATTCATCCAGCGACAGGTACATGTTAGCAACCGCACAGCTGCAGGTACGTGTCAGCAACCGCACAGCTGCAGGGGATTGCTGGGACCGTGGAGTAAAATTAGCGTACTGTCCGGTACAAAAAGAAGAGGTCGAAGAGGACAGGCGCATCAGAAACTTGGTTGCTTGGCTGATCGTTGTGTGCACGAATTCGCTGAGGACGGAATGAAAGAAGTAGATGACACAAGAACTACGGTACTGGGTTGAATGTACCGGTACCTTGAGGCTCGTATAGGTGCTCCAGATACAACATACGGTCCAAGTGCAGCTATTGATACGAATGGGCAGCTGGATGGCACCACGCCCTAAAAAGCAACTCAGCTACCGGAATTGAAGGGCTACGAGACATAAGAACATATGAAGAGTAGAATGGGAACCAAACAGGATTGGGGGACTTGGTCACTCATGCGTTCATCCTGCTGTTGACGGCCATCGTTACGATATGGAGTAGATTTCTGGCACAGCCACACAAAGTTGACCCTCTCTCGTGCTTGCTAGCCAGATTGAATCAGCCAAGGAAGGTGCGGGCATATGTTACGACTAGTTTCGGGGCTGCAGTTGAGAGTCTCAGTCGCGTCTATCCCAGCAGGCCATCACTAGCAAGCAAGCGGGGGCAACAGCAACAGCTCTTGCTACATGTACCATGCTTCTCGTGATTTACACCTGCTCTCTCAGTTTGAACTCCGTTCTCCGCAGACGTTTGAAAGCTACATCAGTACGTTCCGGGTACGGGTACCGGTACAGTCGAAGTGTTACCGTATTGAAGTAGTGGTTGTAGTACTGGGACTCGACTCGAATCCCAGCTTTCCTTCCTCCTATTGCTCAACACTACTTGTAGAAGAAAAAGAGCACGATGTCCTTCCCGCCATACCGGTATCAGTAGTGCTCAAACCAAACGAGGATTCCAACGTCGCGAGCGATGGCTGGCCTACTACAGCCAGTGGCTGGCACCGTACCCCCGGCCAGCGACAAGCAAAGCCGGCTGCTGTCAATCAAAGCTCATCGAGATCTAATCAATCCCTTTGCCTGCCACCGCCCATCACTCTCCTCTCACCCCGCCATCAATAAGCAAAGCCGCAACCATCGTTGACAACACAAACTTCAGCGACGGTGTCAGAACGCTTGCCTGCTCGAGTGTTCTGGGAACATTCCAGACGCCACCTTGATTGGAGAGCCAGCGCGCCACTCCCGCGACGGTCCTGTTGGCATTGCCACGGCGCCGTTAACCAACACGTCACCACAAAGCTGAGGCAAGGAAGAAGAAAGCCAAAAGCGTTCTTTTATTGGCCCATGCTCCAATGGAGAGCTGCTTCGTAAACAACGGCTGTTTAGACGATCCTGGATCCTTTTTTTTTGGTGGTCTGTTGTCTCAGAATACCCTACGTTTTCCTGGTTCAAATGCTGCTTGCATATTGATGGCATAGATCATTTATTTGATGCTGTTGTTGTTTGGTAGCGCCAGGTTTCCAAATAGATTTTACAGAAGAAAAAGATAATCTCAAGATAGAATGTGCCAAGCTGACGAATTACCTCCAACAATGGCGCCCGAAGACCAAAGTCTGGTGAAGGAGCTTTTGGAAAAGGCCAAGGCCGAAGCGGGAGAAGGTGCCTCTCCTATGCAGGTTTGGTCCATTTTACAACACAAGCTCAAGCCGTCCATGGCTATGGAAGTCCATCAATGTTGCTATGAACAGGCGTATACGGGAGTATCCGATGTCAGGCCCTCTTGGGTTCCTTCGCCTGAATCTATCAGCAAAACCAATATTCATAAAATGATGGAAGAAAAAGGATTCAGTAGTTACCAAGAGTTCTATGAATGGTCTGTCAAGACGGAAACACGAGAAGAATTTTGGAACCAAACAGTAGAGAAGCTGGATATCCAATGGGAAGAAAAACCCACTGGTGTCTTTGACTTGACCAAAGGAGGACCGGCTCATGTGAGCTATTTCCCTGGTGGCAAACTCAACATTAGCGATTCGTGCTTTCACAAGCGAAAACCCACCGATGCAGCATTGGTCTATGCCATGGAATCCGACCCACGGGCCATCCAAACCATGACATTTTCCGTTCTGGAGAGACTCTCCAACCAAATTGCCCATGCCATCCATGATCGCCTGCAGTTGACACCGGGTGATGCCGTCGCCATTTGCATGCCCATGACACCCGAATCCATTGCCATTTACTTGGGAATTGTCAAGGCCGGCTGTGTCGTGGTTTCCATTGCAGATTCCTTTTCGGCCACGGAAATTGCGACCCGTTGCCGTCTTGGAAATGCCAAGGCCATTTTCACACAAGATGTCATTTACCGAGGAGCCAAGTTCTTGCCTCTCTTCAACCGTGTCCTGGAGGCGGATGAGATTGTCCAAGCCGACCAAAGTGACAAGGAAACCAAGTCAGACGCGGGAAACGACCGCCTCAAAGTTGTGGTTTTGCCGGGGATGCTGCATGCGGGTCCCTACAACACTACCAACGCCACTACCCTGGATTTCAACGAGAGTGGCACCTGGGATGATAAAGATGCTCAAGGCAACCCAGTGGCACTTCACCCCTCGGTCGTCGAAACCATGAGGGATGGATTGGACCACAGTTGGCATGATATGATTTTTCACGCTAGCGATGAGTTTGTCAGTGTCAAGCGCAACAGCATGGACGCTTGCAATATTTTGTTTTCCAGTGGAACCACGGGAGAACCAAAAGCCATTGTGTGGTCCCACAGTACACCCATCAAATGTGCCGTGGATGGATACTACCATCAGGATATTCAGGTAGGAGATCGCGTGGCCTGGCCAACCAACATTGGTTGGATGATGGGACCCTGGTTGCTCTTTCAGCTCATGAATGGGGCCACTCTGGGCATTTTCAACGGCGTTACTTCGACGGATGCCTTTTGCCAATTTGTGGAAGAAGCCAAAATTTCCATGGTGGGTGTGATTCCCTCCTTGGTAAAGGCGTGGCAAGCACGTGATGCTACCAAGGACTGCGACTGGAGCTGTGTTCGTCGGTTCAGCTCCACGGGAGAAGCCAGTGATCCCGAGAATTATTTGTGGCTCGTGTCCCGAGTCCCTGGATACGCTCCCGTGGTGGAATACTGTGGAGGAACCGAAATTGGAGGATCCTACCTGTCGTCAACTCTGGTGCAACCCAATGTTCCATCCATGTTCTCCACTCCAGTTTTGGGATCGCAGCTTTACTTGTTGGATGCCGAAGGTAAAGCTTTGGATGGCAGTGAATACAAATCAGGCGCTGTCGGTAGCATCAGCGGCGAAGTCGCCTTGGTGCCTCCAACCATTGGATACAGCACCCATTTGCTGAATCGCAATCACTTGGATACTTACTACAAGGGAATGCAACCCGGTCCCAACGGTGAAGTTCTGCGACGACACGGGGATGAAATCGAAATGGTGCGCAATGCCCAGCATACAAACAAGAGCAAGGAAGAGACGGCTCCCTATTTCCGTGCCCTGGGTCGCTGCGATGATACCATGAATATTGGTGGCATCAAAGTCAGCAGCGTCGAGATTGAACGCGTTTGCAATCTGGTAGCTGAAATCAAGGAAACAGCCGCCATTGGTGTGGCTGGACCTCATGGTGGTCCTTGCAAGCTGGTCATTTATGTCGTGCTCAGTTCTGCTGCCGGTGGAGCTGACGACAAGGCAGCCTTGAGGGCGGCCATGCAAAAAATGATCAAGGCCAAATTGAATCCCTTGTTTGGAATTTCGGATGTGGTAGTGGCAGAGAGTCTTCCCCGCACGGCTTCCAACAAGGTGATGCGTCGTTTGCTACGTGATGAGTACCTCCAAAAGTGAGTGAGTAAGTAAGAAAGAAATGAAACTACATGATGATACAGCACAATCCATAACACTGGAGTGGCAGCTACACAGCTTGATGAGAATAAGCTTGAACATGCACACAACAACCAACGCCACGCCACCAACAGCACGCTAACCCTGTTATCTGTACAGAACGAAGAGAGAAGGAGACAAACTCGTGCCTGACCATCCCAGCCATGCACGCAACCAGGCAACCATGCAATCCGGCAACCATGCAACCCTTCTATACAAATAATGATAAGGACAAAGACCGCCACTACAAATAAATAAATGCACGTTTAAAAAAGAAACAAGCATCACTTGCTTATTCCCCCGCAAAGGGCACGGAGGACTCAATGCGGACAAAATCACTTTGGAGCACTTCATTGGCATCTACCACTACGGGCATGTTGGATGCTGGCTTGGCAAAGAGAGCATCTCCGTACACTGCCACCGAGGCCACAAAGAAGAGACTAACAGCTACAGCCAATATTTCCAGGCTTCCAAAGGGTCCAATCCGTAATTCTTTTTGTGGGATACTGTTGTTGTTGTCGTCTGGTTGTAGATCATCCTGGTCTGTCTGATGCAACAAAACTGTCGTTTGATAGTTTTGTGGTTGGATCAGACATTTTCTGGGGTTAGATTTCGGAAGAATCCAGCCATGGGCCACAGGGAGAGCACTGAACAGCGCCAAGGCGATAAGAAAGATTGTGGATCTGAAACGACACAGCAACATCATGGAGCAGCACTTTTTGTGGTTGGATTGTGTTGCCATGCAGATCAATGTTTCGTCGTTGCTCGCCTTGGACGTTTGGCGTCCTTGGAGGCCATGAATCGTGACTCGCGATAGTGACTCAAAACGATCGCCAAAACTTCGAAATTCTTCTCCCGCCTCAACTCAACTGCCCCGCACTGGCATGACACAATGACGCCTCCTTCATCCCTGTTGCTATTGTAATACTTAATGACACCAAGCAGAGCTCCAAGCAGCCCATTCTCCTTCTTGCTTCAATTCAGCTACCATTGCGAACTTCTAGTTCTTAGCTAGATTAGAGCCACCATGTCCTCTCGCAAACGCCGTGCTGCTTCTTCGCCCAAGAATACTAAGCAAGAGCCCGCTTCCTTTTCGTCTCGTCGGTGTCATGACTACGACGATGCCCTCTTGGAAGAAGTAGCGTCGCCAATGCCGTGTGACGTTCGCGACTGTTTCGAAATGGACCAGGACCGCGTATTCCTTCAAGAGGCTTCCTATCCGTCCTATCTCGAATGGGGCATTTGGAGCATCCTGCAACGATTGGGGTTTTCCTATGGGGGCGGTGGTTATCGTCATCCGGCACTTGACGGCATGCGCAATGTCGATCACGATGATGCCATTCGATCCTTCTTGGTACAGCGCGGTATTCCTCCCAATACATACGCCACCCTTCAAGGAGATGATTTGGAAGCCTTTCTCATGTGGGTGGCATTTGCGCACGTTCCTCCCGTGCGAAACGATCAGACACGGCCACAAGTTCCCGTTCCATCCGACCATGAAGCGTTACTCTATCTACTTTCCTTGGGATTTCAACTGGACAAGACCAATAATAATCGACAAACCATTATTTACCGAATTATTAATCAAGAGGAACGACAAGAATTTCAATCCATCCATGAACTGAGATCCTTTGTACGCGCCAGTGATACCGAAACACTCATGGCCGGTCTCATCCAGTCGCACCAAGGTCCCGCCCGAAAGAAACGACGAACGGCACGCAAAATAGAAATGCCACTAACCGATAACGAATTCTGGGCCTTGCGGTTATGGGCGGCGCTCTCACCCGAATTATTGCCAGGAGAAGCCACGCAACAACAGCAACTGGAGGACAAGATGGAACAAGAATCGACTCCACAATCATCAGTACCTCGAGAGGATGACACAAAGAAACCGGCAGAGGAAGATGATAAATCGGACCATTCCGCCGAAGAAACGATTGACGATCGAGAACAACCCGTCGCAGAAACCCCAGAGTCGGAGGCACAATCCAAAAAGAAACAAGCAAACGAGACGTCTCAGCAGCAGCAACAACCACAGCAACAACATGATCAAGAGCAATCACATACAGAAGCAGCAACTGACACGCCTCCCAGCGTTTCTGCTGCTGCTGCTGACAACAATAATGAAATGGATATATCGTCGTCGTCACCCACCAGAAAACCAATCGACAGCAGTGTCGCCGAATCAACAACCATTGGAAAATTAAATGATAAAGACGAAGAACAAGCAACCGATGCACCAACAACGACCACCCTCAACCATCCACAAGAAGGGTCAACTATGCATAACAGGCAACCATTGGCGGCCCCCGCCCCTGATCAAGAAGCAGCACCAGCCGACAGTTCCTGTATCATTTTGTAGATGCATGTTATGTATCGAATTTATGACTGTATCTCTGTGCTCATTTGTACGCTTATGAATGACACTGGTAGTGCTTATCAGATACTGGTAGTGCTATCTAGTCAGTTTGAGGAAGTCTCGGCAACAGCAAAAGGAAATAGAGGCAGCCTGAATAATGTCATTGAATGTATGAGATTCCGGACTTCAATATAGTTATAGAATGTAACTCCGGATTTACTTGTCTTTTTCTGCCAACCAAACACCATCAACCTAACGCGGCCATTGCTAAACTCTCAGGCCCTAGCACTAACATTGAGAAGAACACCATTGTCAGGCTTGTGGAGAAATGCCTTTGTGGATGTCTTGAATTCAAAGCCAGGGACAGTCTTGAATTCAAGACCATTCAATAAGTTTGCAAGGACTAGGACAGCTTCTTGAGTGGCAAACTTCATACCCACACAATTCCTGCCACCAGCCGAAAAGGACATCATATTGGAACGGTTGGCAGCTGGAATATCACCAGTGTCATCGGAGGCACTTCGTTCCACCCAACGTTCTTCCTTGTCTGCTTCAAACGCTACCCAACGATCAGGACGGAACTCGTTGGGACAAGCAAAGACATCCTCATCATGATTAAAGGAATATATAGGAATAACGACATCAGCGCCCTCAGGGACCACAAGACCTCCACTGAGTTCCATTGGCTTGCTCATGGTGCGAGCTGTCACTACAGCAGGGGGGTACATCCGAAGCGCCTCCCAGATTACAGCCTTACAATACACCAACGCATCTGGATTAATCAATCCATCCTTCGTGCTCTGGATTTCTCTGACACAGTACTCTTGAGCTTGAGGGTGTTGAGCCAGTAGGTACAAGGCAGCTCCCAAATTGATTGATGTTGTGTCATAACCTGCAAGAAAGAGTGACATGACACTATCAGTCAGGCCATCATCTGTGACTTGTCCTGCTTCAATGATACCCATGCTTTTTACATCTTTGTGAGCCTTCAAGAGATGTGTCAGAAGATCCTTATCAGTGGCACCATCCTGATTTTCTTCAATAGTTTTGCGTTTCTCTGAGATGAGATCAGAAATAAGAGAACGAAGCATTTGATGCTCCCGCAGCTGTCGACGATTCTGTTCTGTGGGGATCCAGTAGAATTGGTGTTGAGGCCAAAAGGGACTTTTCAGGCGTTTCATCAACTGCCCAATGCAATATTCAAAGGCAGTGGCTACTGGGGATGGGTTCATGTCATTTGCACTGACGATTCCGTCCACATTCAGTGCGGTTTTGCAGAAGATCCCAAGTGTGATTGATTTCATCAAGGGTTCGAGGTCAAGTTCCAACCCTGAGCTATCAGCACTTTCTTTGGCCACCTTCCTCTGAATACTCTCCACCATTTGCTGGGTGACATCTTGCATATCCTGGCGGCAGTCTGTAAGGAAGTCAGGATTGAATGTCTTGGTGATGGCTAGACGGTGCAATCTCCAATCTTTCCCATTCAATGCCAGCAGAGCGCGCTCTCCGGTAACTCTTGCAACATGCCTGTTAAGGAGCTTTGGCCTGAACCTGTAGGATTCCTTGTTCAACACAGTCTTGGCATCTTTAATATCAAAGACGAAGAGTGTAGGTCTAATAAAGGCCCAGGTTCCCACCTGCCCGTACTGATTGGTGGGCGCTTTGAGCGAACCCATTGACGCGCGGAAGTTTGCATCAATGAACAAATTGAGGTGTCCTAACAGCCAGTGGCTTTTGTCTGGCATGGGGACATCTGGAAATGGACGCTTCGTTTCGAGATAGTGACGAATCCATTTGGAGCAAACCCAAAGGAGTGAGACAGCTACCACCACTTGGGCTACCAAGGTGGAATCTTCCATTGTGATTGCCACTAGAAACAATACAGGTAGTTTGTGAGGAGAACAGTGAAGGAGGAATGGATAACTTCCCTCCTTTAACCCCTTATCCAGGAGGAATGGATACTTGTGCACGAAGGCATGGATGCACTTCGATCTTTCACAAGGCGTCAGCTACCGCTTGTTCTGTGGAACCGTATCCGGGTTCGTCCACGGAAGGTCGTCATCAAAAGATGGGTGGGAATGAAAAAGATCCTGTTCTGGGAAAGTGGTACAGGTACTGAACAGCTTTGCGAGCTTTGAATCACTCCGTAAAAACCTTTGCGAGATACTTTTTTTGAAAAGGCCAAAGGAACCTTTCGAGCCATCCAAGAAGGCGCGAAAGAAAAGCACAGAGTTTCGATCACAAACAATGACATTGAGGTTGACCCTGAACCACTAATAAAAGCGGCTGTCTTTATCTTCTCCACAATTTATCGATCCAATATGTTTGTTGTAAAGAGCGCCTTTCTTCTGCTCTTGAGCTTCTCCGCTGTTGCAAATGGCATTGACATGAATAGCATGCCTGGCATGGATGGCGGAGGCAAACCCTGTCAAATGTTCAGCTGCAGCAAAGGATACGCCCCAGTCCCCAAGAAGAGAGGCAGCGGTTCCATCATGCGCTTAACTAGTGCGGGTTGTGATGCCATGGGAGGTGGCATGGTCGTCATGGCGCAGAGTGATGGACCTGAAAAGCCCTACGCTGCCTGCTGTGACGAATGGCATGCCTGCTACCAGATCTGTGGCTCCAACAAGGTACAGTGCGACAAGGCTTACGAGACCTGTGTCGACGCCAAGTGTGCCGGATACGACGAAAAAGATTGTTCCGAATCCGCCAAACTGAATATTATGCTCATGCAGTTCGCTGGCTGTGGAAAATTTGAAGGGGCTCAGAATGCTGCCTGTGAGTGTATTAGTAAAGACAAGGACAAGCACGTGGCGGCTCGAAAGAGCGTTCTGGAAAAATTCTACAAAAAGCACAACCCCGGTAGCGTTCACAAGGTTGAGGAGCTCATCAAAAAGGCAGATACCGCTCCCAAATTGGCCAAGCTACTCCAAAAATTAGTCCAAAAGTACCCAGCAAGTATCGAGAGGGTGGACGATCCACAAAGGGCATCCTACCAGAAAATGATGGATGAAGCCAGGGCAAAAGGAGACGCCAAGGACGACAATGAACAACCAGCGGACGAGGAAAGTGACGAGACGGAAGATTTGGATGGTTCCAAGGACGAGTTTTAGCTAGTGAGAAGAAGAGGACGACAAACCAGCCAGAGCATTTTAGGGTAGGGTAGGGCCGAGACAGCCATCAATTAGAATACAATGAAGATGATAATCACCTAGAAACTATTTTGAACCCACTGCGATGCCTCTGAGCATTACATTTATTACAAGTATAGCCCTGCCTTGCTTGTACCAGTACCAACAAACAATCAACCCAGCAACTAGCTTCATGTACTAGATCCAGTTCTCGGATCATGCATGATCAAAATAGTGGCAAGATAAGTGCTTGGCGGATTTGTTTTGGAAGACGACACTGAACTGGCTGAATGTTTAACCACACTTACTTTATCAGCGAAGAAGAGCAGCTGCTTCTTCTCGGGTTGCAAGCAACTTCGAGAGGAACTGTGGTACCACTACGTACGGTACGGCGCCAAGCCAGATCCATATGGAGGAGTTGTAGCGGTAAGAATCACTATGCACTTATCCTCCGGTTGGAAAACAATATCTTAGGCGAGGAGCCAGAAGCCATACTGTAGTGTTTTGGATGGTACCATGTTACATATTATCATCAGCTGGCTAGTCTACATACATGTACGGTATCTCCCAGGTAGAGTACCACGAGGGTCCCACCAGAGCAAGACAAGGCCGAAACTTCAAAAATGGGGGAAAATTGGAAAATTTGGAGAAAAAATATTGAATCGTGAGAAGGAGGAGGGATTTAGGAGCGAGCACCGAACTTGTTGAACAATGTCCCCTGAACTTTCCCGAAGCTTCCTCACTCGTCATCCTCTCCCCGCTCACACTCTCCACGAGCTGATCATCAGTTCTCCACCTCCACAACTAAGCAAACCTGGGAAATCACTGCCCGATCAAAGAATCAAGGAAAGGTACTACACCTTTTCCGATTGAGCCTCACTTTTCATATCATTTGCGAGAGCCATGGACGCCGCAAGCACCGGAGGAGAGACAGCCACCAGCAGCTCGAGCATGTCAGCGAAGAAGAACCGATCGCGAACCGAGACGGTCTCTACCGTTGCCTCATCAGAGACACAACAACTCAAGAATGCTGCTGCTGCCGAGGATGAGGCGGAAGCCCTTCCTCGTTGGTTCCCCATTTGCTGTGGAAAGCCCATCCTTCATGGCAAACCAGAAGCTCTGGGCTTTCTCTTGGGAATGTTGGGGCAAGTTGTTGGCGTACTTGGAGTCATGACGTTTGTGGTTCCGTCCCTCGTGTACTTTGCAAAGAAAGAAGCAGGTTGTCAAGTTGAGCTTGAAGAAGGGCAAGACGAACTGCCGCCTTGCAATGAGACTGTCTATGGCATCAAGCCGTCTTCTATGATTACTACGTTGGTCTCTATCGTGTCCATCTGTGTGGCCCTCATGACTCCAGTAATTGGCGCCATCATCGACACAAGTCGTCATCGGAGATTGATTGGAAGATGCATCGCCTTTTTCTACTGTTGCGTCATTTTGCCACAAGTCTTCATCTCGGAAAATACTTGGTTTCCTCTGGTCATTTGTCTCATGCTCCAGGGATGCACCATCATGGCCTTGTCGCTCTGTCTGCATGCCTACCTTCCTGACGTAAGTGACCACCAATACCGATGTATTGCTGTTGTGACTGACAACAGCTCTAGCTTGTATTGAACTCATTGTACATGTTTTGCTACAATTTCATCCTCTATAGCTTACGGACAGTGAGGAAGAGTTGAATGACTTTACCAAAACCTTTACAGCTGTTCCTGGGGGCTTCATCATCGTCTTTATCATTGCGGTGATTGGAGCTTCTGTGGCATTTGACGTAGCTGGTGAAGAAGGGCCGACTGCAAGAATAGCCGCTCTCTTTGGTGTCATTGTAGTGGCCATATCTCTTTTCATATCGTGGGGATTCCTCCTGAAAGAACGACCCTCTTTGAATGCTTTGGAAGAAGGACAATGGAGGTTGACGGCAGGCTTCAAGAAGATTTACCTCACCGCCGGCAGGCTGTATCGTACGGACATGCCTTTGCTGTGGTTCTTTATCGCAGTGGCGTTGGGAGATGTCAAGCCTTTGACCGGAATTGGACTCACGTTCCTGAGTAGTCAACAACAATTCACCAGTACTGATGTTGGTTTGGCGGCTATCATCATGCTGGTCTCGGCCATTCCTGGGGCTGTCCTATCCGCCTTTATGTGTCGAAAGTTCAACCCAATTCGAAGCTCGATGCTTTCATTGGTGATTTTCAGCATGACTACGATTGCTGCGTCCATCTTTCTGACCGGTCCCAACCAAAAGCCGCAGACCTACGTGATCGTCGGGTGCTGGGGTGTTGTGGGAGGCTGGAAAGTGACATCCACTCTGATGTTGGTGGCTGGTATCATCCCTGAGGTTCGTTCGAGCTATCATTCCGTAGCTAGGATTGGAAAGGGTTGCGAATTTCTCACATGTCTTATCTCTTGCTACTGTACTTCCACAAAAGGGAGGCGATGCGGAATACATGGGTTTCTACCTATTCGCAGATAGTGGGCTTTCGTGGCTGCCTCCGTTGATCTTCACCGCCATGAACGAGGCGGGCATGTCAGAACGACTTGGAGTCTCAGTCTCCACCGTAATTTGGTATGTGTTGGGGATTGGAGCCTACTTCATGATGGGAAGTTATGATGACTTGATTCAGAGAGCAAATCGTCTTGAAGCCCCTGAAAAGGAACATATGGCGGCAATCAGCGAGCACGGAGACAGTCCGTCAAAGCTGTCCAACAGCAAGCTAGCAATAGCAATATCGGAGGAGGAAGCACTGGAAGAACCGTGAAGCCCTCCAACAAACGCAAACTGACTCCTGCGACAATAGCAAGTGGATTCATAGTGACACATAGATTACTGTAGATATTTCGTTTTTGTTTTCATATTTTCTTCTCCGTCTTTGTAGTTGACAGATGCTACCTACCGTACCCCAGCCACTGTAGGAACCGCGGAGCTAGATGGTCATTTGGATGCGGTTAAGGGCCAACCCGGCGTGGGCTGACAAAGTTGCGTTGTCAGGGAACGCAGAAGCGGCAAAAGTCAGTGCCTTCTCGGCAACACCACGCCAAGTTTCGTCATGCATTTCTCGAAGAGGCGAGGAAGTGAATCGATCCAAGAGCGCGCAACCGACCTCTTGGATGGCTTCGTTGTCATGAAACTTGTTCATGATGGCGACAACGATGGTGGCCGCAGCCACACCCGTCCCGTTGTCGTCGAGGGGCTTCAAATCGAGGAACGCCTCCTTTGACTTGATAACCTTCGAGTGGTGCGAATTCCAGGCCAACAAGATGAGTCGAACGAAACCCTTGTTCGCTGTTGCATCGCCGCGGGCTTCCTCAGCTATCGAGTTCAACACAGTGTCCAAAAAACGGAAACTGTCATCACCACCATACATTTCGTGTGCAGCCATGACCACCCCGACGACATCCACAGTCAATGCGCCGTTCTCGCAGCAGTCCCAGGTGGCCAAACGCTCGAGAGCACAACTCCCGTATCCTTGAATGTCACGGCAACCAGGGAAAGTCTTCATGCTGCTAACAACCAGAGTGACTGCGAACTTGGCCTCCTCCCAATCGTTCTGGAGAGCACTCGCAACTCCCAGGATGGCGCAACCTGCCTTTTGGACAGCATGAGCGTTAGGGTGATGTTTCATGGAGGCAAACAGAGACAAGCGGAATTTAGGGAGGACACCGGGGCATTTCTGAGCAAGCATCTCGAGCATTATTCCTGCATGACAGTGCAAGAGTTCATCTGTCTGACACGCCTTCATTGCCGCGGTCAAGATGCTGTAATTGTCGGCCATTTGTACTGCGATACGCTCCGAGGTCTCAGCTCCGGTCGTGGACAAGAGGAGATGCATTGCGTTGAAACCAAGGGTTTGAATGAACAGATGCTTCGGTCCAGCCTCGTTCATTACTTGGAGGACACCATTCACAGCCTCCAAGTAAGATTCGAGCGCCCAGCAGTCCTTTTTCCCGTCGTGATCCCGCATCATGCCAAGCAGTGCCACCAGTGCATTCAACGCCTCCTCCGCTGTTTCCAGATTCTCCATGCCAGGAAGAATAGTGTCCAATACAAGGTCATGCTGCAGGCCCCCACAAATTGCTAACTGGATCTCTTTGTCTTCCACCTGGGCTCGTGCAGAATTGCGAAAGAAACGGAGAACCGCAATCTGGAAAGCTTCAGTGGTTCCAAGAGATGGGCTTTTCTTCACAGCAAACTCGAGATACATAAATACATTGCTCTCGAATAGACTGACCACAAAGTCCGGTTCGATTGTCATGTGACAAAGCGCCAATGACGCTGCTCGAAGAACATTGTCGTCGCGGTTATGCTTCTTCATATTCTCCGTCACGACCGACACCAAGTCGTTGGCTTTGTGGTGCCTTGCGAATCGCTCGAGGTTGCTCTTGTTGGCCTTTGCAATGACTTGACAGGCAAATGTGAAGAGAGAGACATCGTAATCTCGGCTTCCAATCGTTTCTACCAGGTACGCCAAGTCACAGTCGCGAGCAGCCTCCAAATCGCAAAGGAAGGGCGTCGTGGCGATATGGGTAATGTCATCAAAAGTATTGTCGGGGTGGAAAAAGAGACGATGAGAACAATCCAGGGTCAGAAGCAATGATTCATCGTTCGGACGGGACCAGTTGAATAAAGCACTGCCATTGCTGCGCGACCCATCCAGCTGTTTTTGTTGAAACTTGCGAATGATTTGTTCCAACGACAGCTTCTCTTTCACAACCACCATGGCGTTGTCTGATTTGGCAGTCAATGGCAAGCTTCGAACGATGGAGAATATGTGCTTGATGGTTTGTTCGTTTTCCTCTGTAAACATCATTACGTGGGCCATCCTGCGGGCCAGAAAAAGAGAGAGTTGATCGTGCCAATCTTCTCGCAAGATAGCAGTATCCTCGTGAAAGAGACAATCGCCAGGCACAAAACAACCGGGAAGATCCTCGACTGAAAACACCACTTCAATGGCGACATCATCGAGGCGATCGCCTTGTTGTCGACGGTGGGCTGCACCATAGCCCCCAAAGGGGCGAATCCCGGCGCCACGGCGCATGGCCCGACTGCTTGGAGACCAAGGTTCGGCATTGACGATGTGGCGGGACAAGGCTGTCGTCTTCATCTTTTTGTTATTCATGGAAGCTGCTGTAGCGAAACCAGGCTGCAGTTGGGCCGTGGGCCCTGACATCAAGGAGGAAGGACGATTCCAGTGTGCCATCGTTTGAATTTATTTGTGAGGAGGAAGAGAGAGGCGCCAAACTTGGACGAGAGAAAATAATGAAACCCGATTCGATTCACGCTTCCCCTCGAACGGTTCGATTTGAATGATCAATCGATTGAACCGAAATCGAATGAGTCGAATCGAATTATTCGCATCCGCCAACGAACGTCGTCCCATTAGAGCATGCAATACCAGGGTACCCCAAATCACAAATCCCATACAGGCGAAAGCTTGACATCCTCGGTGCCCGGCTATGCTTGCGCGACAAAGAGAACCTCAACGCTCCTATTGTGATGTTAGAATGACGTCATTGCCGATGTGGCAATTCTTCTCCTTAAGTAAATTTGGATCCAATGAGGAAAATGGGTTTGGGTCGGCTGTTGGGCCTGTGCATACAGTTCCGATTTGCGTTGGAGCATACTCAACCCAAATCGCATTTGACGCATTTGACTCACTGGACTCAATGACACATGGTTGGCTGGCGATAATAGATTGCTTACGTCACATAGTTTGTGATTTGGGGTACCTGGGTATTGCATGCTCTTAAAAAGGACACCGGAGGTGTAATAGATATACCGGGCGAGCTGAATTAAAAGATGGGCCGGCATAGTAACATTGTTGAAGTTTGGCTGAAGGTAGTGTCATTAGATTTTTTCGTCTGAGAAAGTGACGTGGTAGCTTACGGGAGTTTAGAGGTGTGCAACATGAGACGTTAGATTTTTCCGTCTGAGAAAGAGGTGTGGTAGCTTACGGGAGTTTAGAGGTAAAACGCTAACCCTAAGGATAAGAAAATTACACAACCAAAACCAACCAACGACCACCAAATAAAGGACACCGGAGGTGAATAGATATACCGGGCGAGCTGACTAAAAAAATGGGCCGCATAATATAATTTTGAAGTTTGGCTGAAGTAGTGTCATTAGATTTTCCGTCTGAGAAAGAGGCGTGTAGCTTACGGGAGTTTAGAGATGTGCAACATGAGACATTAGATTTTCCATCTGAGAAATGGTCGTGGTAGCTTACGGAGTTAGAGGTCTGCAACGTGAGACGTTAGATTTTTCCTTCTGAGAAAGTGGCGTGGTAGCTTACGGGAGTTTAGAGATGTGCAAGTGAGACGTTAGATTTTTCCTCTGAGAAAGTGGCGTGGTAGCTTACGGGAGTTAGAGGTGTGCAAATGTGAGGAAATATTCGATCCGTTGCTATAAAAGAAAGTGTAAGAAATGTGGGGGCCCAAGAGGGGGCGCTTCGTTTTTAGATAAACTCTAACCCAAAGGATAACCAACCAACCAAAACCAACCAACCACCACCACAATAAACGTGTTCAGAGATCACCGGGGTCTGCCCGGTATATAAACAGGGTCAGAGATCCCCGGGGTCTGCCGGGTATATAGGAACCTTACTAGTACCCCCCACGCAACCCTGAGCTTGAAACGAGAAATGCCTTGACGAAACTATGAATGCAGAACCCAAAAGACGCAGGAAAGCACCTGTTGAACCGTTCTCCTCTAACGCATCGTCATGTTCCTCCTTCCGCACAACCATACACCGTCGATGGTGGTGCTGCCTCTCATGTGATGACACCTGTACTACCGTACGGGTACAAGGAGCGGACAGCAGAGAAGTCCTTCATGTCTCACCACCAACTACCGTACAGCGTACCAATAGTGTCGAGTTGAGCTGGGTTACCGGGATCCAAGCCTCGAGAGCAAGCTGAAGCCACCATGTATGTCGACGCTGCCTGTACCGCCGACTGACCAAAGATATTGTTTGCACGATTGACCTCTACCAAACCAAACGACCCACAAAAACGAAATCAAAATGAAGATCAGCATCAAATTCAAACCAAATCAAAAGGACGACCATGGCCAACGAAAACAGTGGAGAAGCCCTTCGTTTCTCGTTTTGGTTTGATTTGATGTTTCCAGTCATAGCTTTTGAATGATGTGACGCTGAACCCGAGCTTTGGGGAACACTCATAATCTCAGGTTCTTTGTTGATCAACAAGCTGTCTATCGCTCCCTGATCATTTCCTACATCTCCTCATCAATTCATCCATCATGCCCAACTGGAGCTACGCTTTCGACCCCAATCGATATGATCCATCTCACGACGCCTATACAATCTTGAAAGCCCCCTTTGAATGCACGGATCGTGAACTCAAGCTCCAGTTTCGCAGAAGCGCCCTCGAGTGCCACCCGGACAAGAGCAGCGTCCCAGATGCAACTGCGAGGTTCCAATATCTCAACAACGCTTGGGAAATGCTGAAGAATCATCGTACAATCTACGATATCAACCGCAATGCCTATCTGCGAATCCATCATCGCCACGAAGAAGCACTCCGTCGTCAACGAGAAGCAGAACAGATCCGCCGTCAGTGGGAAGATCAGCTACGCCGTCGGAGGGAAGAGCAGCACCGTCATCACGAGGAGTTCATGCGTCAAATGGAGGCACGAAACCGCGAAATGCTAGAGCAGCTTCGCCGTCAACTAGAAGAGCAGCAGCGCCGTCAGCAAGAAGAGCAGCTGCGCCGTCAGCGAGAACAGGAAGAGCGCCGTCAACGACAAGAGCAGCTGCGCCGTCAGCGGGAAGAGCGACGCCGCGAACGACAAGAGCAGCTACGTCGTCAGCAGCTAGTGGAAGAGCGCCGTCGTCGGGACAAGTTGCGCCGTCAGCAAGAAGAAGAAAACATCCGCCGCGAGCAAGAAGAGATACGTCGCGTTGAGCGTGAGATGGAAGTGATACGCCGCCGTCGCGAAGAGATTCTCCGTCGGGAAGAGATGCGCTGCTGCGAGTCGGACGATCAAGACCGGCAAGCCATGCGACAACACCCTAAGAGTGACAGTGGCCATGAACCGGTACGGCGAACCCAGCCAGGTCGAGCAGCCAAGTCTCGGAACGTCTCCTACGTATTCTGAAGACTCGAGTCGTATACTCGGACGACCCGGAAAGTGAAAGAAAGGTTGAATGGCAGACATAGTGACAGCGACAGCGACAGCGATTCATCATGCCACCGGCAACCTGCAAATAGATTAGAAAGCACAACAAGCAAACTTGAATTTATCAAAGTGTCCATTGAGCAAGCGATACCGGTAGGAAAAGTTGCCTTCATCAAATTATAACTAGAAACCAAGTAGCTGCTAACTAACCAATCTAATCTGCAGGCCATCCTTAGGAAAGAATCCAGGTGTGTAGGTTTGCTCCAGGTTCTGGTCTTCTCGGAGCTTCCAATCATACTTCTCCACAAGTTTTCCGCACATGGTATTGAGCTCCAAGGCAGCCAAGTAACGACCTGGACACATGCGTGGCCCAGTTCCAAAGGCAGCGGAACCACTGACCACAGCGTCTTTCTCTCCTGAAGCGGCTGATGCAAATGTTTCCCAGCAAGTGTTTTTGTCATGTTTGGAAGCCAAGGCCCCCGCAAAGCCATAGACTACCAGCCAACCAGCTGGAATGTCATAGTCACGGACTGTAAGTTGTTGCTTGGTCAGTCTCATACTAAAGGGAGCCGGCGGATATGCTTGCAACACAAGGTCGACAAAGCGCTCCACTTCCTGAGGACCCTTCTTTAGAGTTTCCTTGAGTTGTGGGTGCAGTGACAAGGTCAACCACATCGATGTCGCAGCACTGGCAGTGGTATCTGACCCTGCGAAAACCAGTGTCAGCACATTGTCCATAATTTCTTGATCCGACAGTTGTTTCCCTGTTTCTTCGTCCACTGTGGACACCAAACGTCCCAGCAAGGAGTCATCTCCTTTGGATGAACGCGCTTGTTCCATCAAGGGAGTCATGGTGGCCACAATCCGTTCGCGGGCTCTCATTGCCTTGGCGGCTGTAGACCAAGGAACGAATGTCAATGGTGCCGCCAGGAGCCCTTTGCTCCAAGTGGTCAAGTCTTCTGCGAGACCGGGTGGTACTTTGCTGGATTTCCCCAAGAGAATTTGAAGGGCAATGGAAATGAAGAAGGACCTCAGATGCGGAACCAACTCAAAGTATCCATCCTCATCGATGGTTTTTTCAACAGTGGAAAGAGTATTGAGAAATTCGTTCATGGCTTGATCAATGATGGGCTCGTAGACTGTTGTCATCAAGTTCAGCGACAAACTGGGTTGAATCAATCGGCGCAATTGATCATGGGCCTCTCCCGACTGCACAAGGAGCGAGTTGGGTCCAAACAACGATTGATGATGGGGCGGAAAGAAGGCTTCGGTGCCTTTGGTTGACCTGGTACGACCCTCTTCCTTGCCCATCAGTGTCAATGATTCTTCGCTGGTGACAAAGAC